AACCAGTTTTTTAAGTGTCATATTAGAATGATCTGTTCGGACCGCCAGTTTTTAAGCATCACATTAAAATGACCCGTCAGGACAGCCAGTTTTTATGCATTATATTAGAATGACCTGTCCGGACTGTCAGTTTTTAAGCGTCATATTAGAACGGCATTTCCGAACTACCAGTTTTTAAGCGTCTTATTAGTCATGCTAGTTTTTAAGACTATATTAGAAAGATTTTTTCCAAACGCACCACCCTGACTCTAGAGCATAATAAAATAAAGGACCTTTATATTTGATCATCTGCAGATATAGAACGGTGAAAAAAATTAGCATATTAAAACGCTAGGGAGGTTTCTTTAAAACGTTTTTCAAAAGATGATTATTCGTATTTAATTTTCTTTGCTCTGAGAAACCTGTATGTGTACACGTATCATTACTGACGTGTGTTTGAACCTTGTGTAAACAAACCGAACTATGAAAAAAAACTCTTTACGGCTTCACATTTAAAGCTGGAAGATTATATTCAATTAAAAAGGAACGTGGATTGAAATATGCTGCGTTTATTTATTTAGCTTAGTGTTATTTAGTTTTCAACGATTTGATGTTTATTCCGTATAAAGCTCTTGAAAAAAGTGTCTGTTTAATTCTACATTTATCAAATCGAGTGTCAGACTAGTTATAGTGCAAAACAAGTGTGACAAGTATTCGTAGCCATACAAAAAGAGACACTTTAAAATGGTGTGCTTGTTTAACATATAATTTTTTCCCTCTCTCCATTGATATTCAAGCTCCTGATAAATGTATATTTAAAACTAACAAACATATCAAAAAAGGTTTGGAGAGAAAGAAAACCTTTACTGAACGAACATTTCTAAACTTTAAACTAAAACTTTCTCTTCTAATAAGCAGGACAATGCATAAAACGTTTTATGTCTACGGTTTGCACACAAAACGTCTTCTGGCAAACAAAACCATTAAACTTGCTTTTAGCGGCAAAACTAGGAGAATTCATGGAACATCAAATCTTGCTTGCTTCTCAGCTACTGGTAAACGTTAGGGAAAATAATGTATTCGTTTGTGTGTATGTTTGCTTTTAGGGTATTTTTATCGTTCAGTATTATATAGCGTAGAATGTTTTACTAATCCAGATCCCTAATAATTATTATAGTATTTTTCGAACCCTATGTGAAATAGCTACAATTTTTTCTAGAGCACGTCCCAAACCTTCTACCTATAAAACTTGCTATAGGCCACTAATATTTGGCCCTAACTTTTCTTAAAACCAATCAACAACTCAGAAAAACTGCAATAAGTGTAGTAAAATTTACCGATTGTACGCGTAAGAGTGAATAAAAATGTGAAATAAAGGAATCTTAAACCATAATGTCTACTGAAAAAGGAACCAGTATCAAACCAGAAAAGCGTGTAAATGCATGACAGTTTTACTGGTACTTTAGACTTGTCTTTAAATAGATATATTTTATCATAACAAAATCTTCAAAGATAATAAACAAATCATTTTGAAGATAAAAAATGTGTTCCTTTTATAGATTCTTTAAAACAAAACAGAATTATTCGAGAACAAAGTTTAATGTGCAGTGTTTCTGTTTAGTTATTAATCATGTGTTGGACAATGACCATTGATATTAAGTTCTGTTGTTACTGGCGTAAATTGTGATGAGTTAACAAAAGTTAGGTAAATTAGTTTTTACTTATTTACATAAGCCATTTTGTATGGGGTTAACCATTTCACTTGATATATAAAGTACACACAACTCAAAGCTATTTGTTGGTCGTTTCTGACCCCTACAGACTCGGCAAATACAAGTAGAACGACAGTTGCACGAGGTTCACGTGAACGTTGCCAAGAAACTGGAGGAAGCTGAGCAGCAAGTCGGGGAACTACAAAGTGGTAAGTACAGACGACCATTTCCGGTGCGGAAGTAATGACAATATAGTCATTGCAGCGGAGTTGTTTCAGTTTGATATTATTGTTTCTAAAGGTAGAGTGTAAATAAACCACAGATCAGCAGTTCTTTACTTTCAGCTTTTAAATAGAGAACTGTATCTGCTTCAGGAAGTAATCTTAAATGTTTACAGTATTCTTGTCGGATGGTTCAAAGAGAATTTGATAAGACCCCCTTTAAAGTGAAAAAACAAAAGTAAACCTAAAAAGATAATATTTTTAATAGTTAAAACAAGAAACGCGTTAAACTATATGGCGTTGTATTTAGTCTATTAAACTCTAAAACATAATGGACTATTTTAATACTACTTTCTCTTAAGAACGCTGCTAATTAGGACTGGTTTGCAGTAAGGAATTGTCGTCATTTTCAGGTGCAAATATTTCCCAAATCTCGGTCATAATCTATGAGTTAATATACTTCCATAAGTTTCTATATGAGTTAATATACTTCCATAAGTTTCTATTCAAAATCAGCAAAAATATTTAATATTTTTGGCAAAATGCTTAGATGGGCCCTTACTCTAATGTCGTAATGACCATTTCTGCATTACTCTCACTGTGTATTTATTGTCAGTTATCTTGTGCACTCGATGGTGTTGTTAGATTTTTGGAATTTTTTTCTCTTCTAATTTTCAACCACAACATTTATTAACGAAGTAAGAATTTGGATGATTTAAATATGTAGCGAGTAAAATATTCTAGAAATTCACTCGGTGATGAAAGAATTAATTGAAATTTTCCCATCCAATTTTTTTTTAACGAAGCCCAATATCATTCTTATGAAATTTGATTGTTGATGCGAAGCAGTTAATGTTTCGTTGACTAATCTCTCCTCGCCCCTTTTACTGGGCTTAAGCTCAAAACTTCCACTTGAATAACTCCTATCATCACATCTTTTTAACCAAAAATAGTTTCTTTATTGCCATTAATATACAACAAGGCTTCGCTTGATCCACTTCTAACGGTTCTTCCTTCATTTTCTAGTTTTTATCATTTTACATAACGTGTTTGCAAAATTTTAAAACTTTGGATAAGTTACCAGCTTCTATGATACTTAGCTTAATTTTGCAGCCAACAAATGTTTCTATGTTTACGTGAAAAGCTTAAATTAATTACATAAAGCTTCCTTAAAACAGTTTTTTTTTAAGTAGAGTCGTTATTATTATTATTATGCGTTAATTGTAGGCCGAAAAAAATAAATAAAATACGCCTTCCAATTGCTCAGCAGTAAGTGTGAAGGCTTATAATGCTAAAAATCGAATTTTGATACCCATGGTGGTACAGCTTAGATAGCCCATTGTGTAACTTTGTGCTTAACTACAAACAAACGAACCTGAAGAAAGACGTATACAGGATCTTCAATAAAGGTTATTCATGTCATGTACAACATGTGTCATCTGCGTTTAATTGGTACATTTTTCTGTAATTTTTTTACAGTTTTAGATAAATTATAACACAAATATAAGTTTTTGTAGCTCAATACAGTGTCATACTTTCACAAGACTCAAACGAATTGGATCTGATTATCAGCTAACATTTTAATTTTTTTTTCCGGATTTCAGTTTTAGATTAGACTAGGAATGGTTTATTGTTAGTTACTTGGTATTATTCTGTTGAGGAGAAGTAAACGAAATACACACAAAGGTTCTTCGACTTGAATCTAAAAGTGTTTTTGAAATATCTCTTAACTAATATATTTGAAGTCAGTCAATCAAGAAGGTTTATAAAACAAGGAGTATCATGTTCGATTCAATGTAATAAAGTTATACATATATAGGTTGTTGATTTTCTGGCCTGATTAGAGAAGTGTATAAGAAGCTTGAAGTTATAATTTATAAGTTTCGAAACATTACACACTTTATGCAAATTAAGAAAACATGACTGCGGTAGAGGTAAAAAAAAACAGTAACAGCTTCTATATCATACTACAGTAACTTTTATTAGACCACTTTATACAGAGTATTATGGCGAGGAGGGGAACTCAACGATGTGTTTGTTTGCACTTTCGATATTCGGATGAAAATTGAAATACGAATTGAACGTAACTTCGTCTAGTATTGCAAATTGACTTCTACGTGAAAGATGGCGCTGCAGACATTAAAGCTCACTCGTTTTTCACTCTAATATTGTTTTTGTTAAAAATCATGATGTGGATTTCCCTCGAAATTGGCACAAATATTTTCCACAATGTCATCTAAGGAATGGTTACAATGTACAGATAGACTTACACTTTTTAAATATTTCTTTTCTTTTAAAAAAGTCTTCCAGTGGGTCAGCGATAAGTTACAACGCTAGAAACCGGGGTTCGATTTTCCCTTTGGGATAGAATGCACTTAGACTATCGTGCAGCTTTGCAATAAGAAAAGAAGAAAATATTTGTTTTTTAAAAGTCAAGAAAGATCGTTTTCAAACTTTACACAATTTCACATCAACTTCACGCATTTGCGACTCTGTTTTTATTGTTAGTTTTCATTGTAATCTATCCTCCAAACTAAAGATGAATTGGCATAAAATTGGCACGCACCGTACTATTAACCAGCTTCTGCGGTAAACCGTTCTTCCTAATTTATTAACCGTTTTCTTTTTCGTGTAAAATAATCCCAAGAACCTCATATAAATGAAAAGATTATATTTATATTACTATTATGATTATATTACATTTTGTTTTTGCTAAATTAATATAACCAAACTCATTTATACAGCACTAAACATAATTTTAACCTACAGTTATTGAAAACCGTTTGTTTATACAGCTTAAAGATTTTATCAGCTAGAATTTTTTTTACTGTCATATAACCATTTTATAATGCAATCAGTTTACTTGAGGACAAAACTACGCAATAGGCTATCTGCGCTTTTATAGGAGACTATAATGCAATTAAAATGATAAAAGAGTAACACCGCTATCACTTAATGTCTCAATAGTCTTAGGAAGAAATTATTAGCGATGACAAAAAACAAGTAAACGAAAGACTTCGTTAAAATTAATGAAATTCGACTCTCAAATCAGGACTTCATCTTCACCCAATGCCTTGGCCTAGCTCGACGTTATTGATGGGAAGTGTAATGTCCGGAAACCAGACTAAAGCAGCTGAGGGTTACGTAGGCCTATGAAGGCCTTGAGACGAGAATATTTTGACTACCTTCCCACCAGTCCAACCCTATTAATGTTACGTAAATAAAAATTATGCATAATCATAACACAAATAAAAAAACATGTTTCCGTTAATTTCGTGTGATATTATGGCGGGATATGGGGGAGTTATGGGCCTTTAGTTCTTGATTTGTAGGGGCCTCAAAAATTACTGCAATCGGCTTTTTCACGAGTTGGAACTGTGTATGCTCCTAGATGCTAAAAGTGTTAATTTTCTAAATCCTACAAGCGTTCCTTTCAGTTGGATCAGGCGGGAGCTCCTTAACCAAATGCTCCTGACTGCCCCTATTTCATGTACATCATGTAACAAAATAAGTAGACCGAAACAAGCTCAGAATTTTTCATATCAGAAGGGTTTTACCCACTTATCAATGTTAAATGCAGATACTAAGTACTAATTTCAGATGCTTTAACCCTAGAATTACAGGAGTCCCATAGGCGTTTCAAACACATTTTTTCTAAACTACTTATGCACAAAATTGCTTGTTGGTTTATGACTTTGTTGGTTACAGGATGCCCAATAATATACGACTCACAAAATACAACAACATTGTAGTTAGTCCCAATTGATTACTGCCATCTGTATTTTTCATATAAAATGAATGATTTCGCACAATTTTTTAGTCATTTCTTCATACCGAGTGTAGTAACCAGTAAAAACATAAAATCATCCAATTTGATACAATATGTAGTCCTCGCAGTAGTGAACGATATAAAAACAAGTCGGTAATTTGAGCGTTGCTATAGTGAACTATATCAGTTTAGTTTTAGGTATTTACTGACATTGCGCGCGTCTAAAGTTATGAAATCAGAAAGTTGATATTAATCTTGACACATTTTTAAAAACTTCACTCAACTTTATAACCTCTTGAAGTTACAGAAATAAAAATGTCATCATTTTACTCTTACTAATACATTAACTACGTTTTTTATAACTTAAATAGAGCTCAGGATGTATATTACGTTTGACTTAAACACGTCTGTGAATGTTCAGAATATCACGAAAACAATTCTGATGTTGGAGTGACGAGGCAGTCTAAACGTCTATTGTGTGTTTATACGATTGTATGTTAATGTTCAATCGAATTTATTGCAATCAGAAATTAATATTGTTAATCATGATTTGGGATCGATAATATTTTGCTTCTGCTTTTTTTTTCTTCCTTAAAAGCCTTGGAACTAGCCAAGTCCGAGTTCTTACATTTGAAGTCCAAATACGATGTCAACCCTAACACTAGGTAAGTCTTTTAAACGGACTTTTTTAGAAAGTGTACTTATATCAACACATTTTGAGTTTGTATGTGAAGTATTTTAAATTAATTAAACATAGGGGATGAACCAGAGGAGTAAGAGGCGTTAGCTCCCTTCCCTCCTAAACCTACGCCTTGTGGGAGGCAGGTTAGCACATGGTAATAATTTTGATATTTACACACAATATACGCCTGCATCTAACCATATACATTTTGAGAATTGCTCCATTTGAAAGCTATAAATAACACATTTACTGGAAGTCATATAATTTGATAACACCTCATGTAATTACAGGTACATTGGGCTTCCCCCGCTTGTGATTATTTACGTTGTGATTATTTCAGTTTCACCATTTTATAGAAAGAATATTTTTGTTAAAAGCTGATTAATATGTTTGTGGGTGATCGTAAAAGGATCTAAATATAATTCATTATAATAAGTTAGGATTTATTCTAGATTGTTCGGCGACAAATGAACAAAATAACTGACATTGAAGCAGAGTAATTATTGAATATACGTGAGTGTTAAGCTTTAAAACCACCTTTTTTTGAGAAGTTTTTCATATTGTAGGATTGAGAGAAGAATCAACAGAATACGAAACGAAATGAGAAGTAATTTATAAAAAAAACCTTCTGATGAATATCTGAAGAGTTATGGTGTGTAGAGATCTGTACCAGAATTGATTTTAACTTGTTTTTCTTATTGTTCTTAAATAAGTAGGATTTACTAGTTTAATGAACACTTAAAAAAGAACAGAATTGACTTTTTTCTCTTTCTTGCGGGTCAACATGTGTTTGAAAGACCCTTCAACCATTATTTTGCATTTTTCCCCCGTGTAATCAGCGATATCGATAAAGACAAATACAACATAAATGCCAAGTTCCTGCTCTGCTCTCCTGTCTTATGCCCCCCCTCCCCAAATAGCCCTTTGTGTAGCTCTATGCTTAACAACAGACAAACAAATCTTATGTCTTATATAAATGTCAAGTCTTACTTTCGTCTCTCTAGTCTTATATCTTAGGGGTATGTCACGTTTTTGCTCCATTCTTATACCTTACGTATATGTCACATGTTTGATCCATTTTTATATCTTACCTATATGTCACATGTTTGATCCATTCTTATATCTTACCTATATGTCACATGTTTGATCCATTTTTATATCTTACCTATATGTCACATGTTTGATTCAGCCTTACTTCTGACGTGTATGTCACATGTTTGATCCATTCTTATACCTTACGTATATGTCACATGTTTGATCCATTCTTATACCTTACGTATATGTCACATGTTTGATCCATTTTTATATCTTGCGTATATGTCACACGTTTGATCCATTCTTATATCTTACCTATATGTCACATGTTTGATCCATTTTTATATCTTATCTATATGTCACATGTTTGATTCAGCCTTACTTCTGACGTGTATGTCACATGTTTGATTCAGCCTTACTTCTGACGTGTATGTCACATGTACAAGCTGTAAATCTTATGCGTTTACTTGACCAACTTGATCCAAGTTCTGGGTGCGTTCATTTGAAACCCAAGTGAAAATCTGTACAAGCTGTAAATCTTATATGTTTACTTGATCAATTTGATCCAAGTTCTGGGGGCGTTCATTTGAAACCTAAGTGAAAATCTGTAAAAGCTGAAATTATATATATTTATACTACAAGGGATTAGCATAAATCGATACCCGAGAGGACATTGTTTTAGTTAGGCAGACGGTAGGATGAACGGATCAATAAGTGAACCGACATGAAAGGTTCAACAACGTATGAGTGATAACGAAATCTGCATTTAGCAAAAGCACAATACACCATTCAGGCAGCGTATATCATATACAATAGTGTACACACACCTACATGTGTGTGGCATTAATCCGATGGGAATTACTTTTATTCCGGTTTATATGAGAGTCCAATCAGAACTGTCTGTTGTTAACTGATCCGTAACTTCATGTAGAAAGGGAGTGTATATGTGTGTGTGTGTGTGAGAGGGGGGGGGGTAGGCTCCATTCCCGTTGTCGGATCTTATAAACAGAAAACACCAGCGCTGACTGACTGAGTGGGTAATCAAGCGCGTCCGCGACAAGGTTAATATTATCTTATACACACATTTTGGAACTGGCTAGATGTTGTCTGTTCTGGACATTTTCTGGCAGCACATTTAGGATTTGTTCATTCAAAGAACAAAATTACCTAGAAAGTCATGTTAAGTCATATTCCAAGTGTCTGGCTTTGTTTATATACGCAACGCTGAGGTGAAAACCGAAAATGGTGTTATGTTTTGTAAATGTGGCCACACCTTCGGGATTTAACAGAATGAAATAGAATACCAGTTATAATTCAATTTCAATAGCAAATATTAGCAAAAGAGAGAGAGAGATAGTCGTTATTATTACACAGAGCAGAGTTATTATGGGAAAAACGTGTGTGTTAAGTTTTAAAACTAATTTTTTTAGAAGTTTTTCATATTGTACTGTTGTAGAGTTGAGAGAGAGAAATAACCAGTATACAAAACGAAATGAGAAGAAACTTATAAAAAAACCTTCTTATGAACATCTAAAGGGTTATGGTGTAGAGGTCTGTACCAGAAAGAATTTTACAGAGACCACACTATCAATATAAACATATGACGTTAGTTGTTTCATGACCTTAATAAGTGTTTTATTGAAAATTATATATATATGTGTGTGTGTGTGTGTGTGCGCGCGCGCGCGCACGCGTATTCTTACTGTGAAAACGACGATAAAACTAATCAAGATCAGAGTAAGTTGGTTCTGATTTTCACAATAAACGTCTTCGATGTATACCTTTCAACGAGAACACGCATACAAATCTTTATAACGTTTAACAGGTAGCTAGTTGAATAAGTTGGTGGATCAACAGACAGATTATGAAGTGTAATTATTAACTTTTATGCTATTTTATGTACAGGGTGCCTGAAATTTCTTACCCTGGTTTTTTAAAAATTTCTGTTAACATAATTTCATAAT